CTTACTTACTTACGCCTGTTACCCCCAATGGAGCATAGGCCGTCAAGGAATAAAAAGCTTAAAGAAATTTGTAAAATAAAACAAGTTCATTCCACTTCAAGGTCATTAGTTAGTTTCAAACAAGCTAAATCTTCAATGGATTATACGGTTGAAAATATATACCTATTAAGAACGCTATTCAGTAATCAATGTTAGTATGGTTGCTCTAACAACAATCCACAATAGGTGGTATGTATTAGTATGTTACAAATCCAGTTATATGCATTTGGATAGATTAGGCTACAAATACTAATGTCAAACTAGAACACAGCACAAATCTATAAAGACAATGACAGCGGAACTGAGTCACGCTGATAGATGTGGACTACCTGGTTGGGGTTTCGTGATGGTTAGAGTCCTTGAATAACATGGTTCAAAATCGTTTGCAATAGAGCAGATGCATCCAGTGTTCCTTTCTTCTTAAATTCTTACCTTCTGAATCACTCTCGACCGTTTTCTTCTCATTTTAAATTAATTTCATTGGGATATAATTCTCGAATCATGTCTTCGAACCCTAATCTTTCCGAATACCACTCATACTTCTACTACCTCTACTACAATGAGACTTGAACTGACGATTGCGTCTCTGTGCTAATGTATTGTGGCAACTTGAACGAATATACGTACGAAGCTCTACGGTGTAGCTGACTGACTGGTTCACTAACTAACGCAGCCATTCACCGAGAAGCCTAACGCTCTTTACTTTGACTTCCACCAAAGTTTATGGTGAACACAAAAGTCTTATAACTAGACGAAACAGCTATCTAGTTGCACCATTGTATAAGATTCTAAATGCGAGCTTCATTTTATTTTCTGTTAACATAAGTATATTTCGTACTTAAATCTTCTATAAATTCGTATGATATCAGTGGGTTAGTTAATTATTATGTATAGATTTTACTGACGCACAATAGTTCACTTACATTTTGTGTACTGTTCTAACCACTTTTTGTCAGCAAAACAATAGTTAACTTTGTTACATTCACTTAAGACGACTATAGTTACCTGCACAGATTTACAGTTCGGATAGTATCAGAAATAAGAATGATTGCCGGCAATCGATCTTTACCGGTGTCTGGATGTTTTGTGATGTGTGAGTAGGTTGGAAGAAAGCTAGGGGCGGTCAAACCAAAACATGGCAGATCCATGAAATCACTGACAAGTGGACTGAGTAGTCATGTTGGTAGATGTAGGCTACCTGGTTGGGGTCCGCGAGACGTAAGTCAACAATGGTTAGAGACCTTGAATGACATGGCTCAGAATCGTTTGCAATGGCGCAGGTGAATCCACTCTTTGTGTTCTATGAAATTCTACGCTTCTGCATTCCTCATAATCTCTACCTTTCTCCTTCTAAATTTATCTTACTGAATTATACTTCTCGAATCATATCTTCGCTCACTAATCTTCTCCATTACTGCCAATACTTCTATTAATGCTATCACTCTTGGATTTGAACTGACAGTTGCGTCTCTGTGCTGATGTGGTATGGCAACCTGAACTGATGTACTTACGTACGAAGTTCTGCGTTGTATCTATCTGTCTGTCTGTCTGGTGTCTGGATGAATAAATAATAATCTTTATTTATTAAGAAAAAAACCTGTACTAAAACATTTTCATCTCAGGACAGAGTTGGTTGGAGAAAACTAGTCGGCGGTCTATGCTCCTTTAGGGGTAACAGGCGAAATTAAGAAACGCTTGTTAAAAACAAAACATTTGAAATTGTACTTATGGTAAGACAATTTGACAGATTCCAATTATCTAAAGTGTATGATGTTCTTTTGAATGTGTATCACTGTATTGACTAATTCGCCTAGTTTAACCATCGATGGTTTCAAATAAAATGGATAACGAGTTGCTTGAAAAATTGATGTGTGTGAATTTTATCCAAGAGTTTGTTTTTCTGATATTACTTTTTAAATAACCGCAGTTGTTGTATTAAGAAAAAGGGTTATAACATTGCCCTCCAAAGAGAAAATGTTAATCACGTCAAAATTTTATACATTTATAATTCTGTGCTACTTGTATACAACATTATTACTCAGTGTCTGATTTGATTTCCGTAGACAGTACGTTCATTTGTGTTCACAAAGTGTTTTCTGTTGAATTCAGTACGGATTCATACATGATGATTACAGTATGAACATTGGACAATTCTGAGTATTACAGTTTTGTATACGCTATACAGTTTCTAATTTCGTTTAACTTCCAATGTTTACATTCTTGAATATAAACTGACATTGAACAATTACTTATCATCAAAAGATGTAATATATTGATCTAATCTATTCGAATCTCGTGTTTGTTTAAAATGTATTGAAAACTGTTGGCGCTTAATCCAACAATGAGAGAAATCCTTATCCAGAAGCTATAACATTAAATTTCTCACCTGTCAAAAAACCCAGTGGTAAAGCAAAATGAAAATCTTATCATTTAATACAATTATTCAAAAAGTGGTTTGACAGACTTTGATTGTTTGTAATTTTAAGAATTTGATTTTCTCAGCCAGGTTTTTCAAAACCTTCTCAAAAGAGGACAGTCAGATCGTTTGAGAATCAGAAAACATATCGATCCATTTACAGTCTGTTAATATTTACAGAAAAATCAACTTAATCATGAAGTCAGCAATCATCCAAAAAACGTCAGCGTCAGAGGCAAAGTCAAACAGTAAAAAACGCATGACGATGGCCATTACTTACCAGACTTAAGGAGGAAACAGTTTTAACACTGATGATGTAACTAAAAAGCTGACTTATTTGTGAAGTAGGTGTTAATGATATTAAACACTTTGCAATAAAACTTCTCTGTGTACAGAACATAATACCGCCCAAAAGGATCCAATTTCATTGCGAATCTGCCATATCACTAATGCATGTGTTACTAAACTTCATGGGCAAAATTGTAATTATCACTTGTGAAACGAAAATGTGAAAAAAAATGCAGTATTTTACTTCAAATTTAGCGACTTGAATTATTTCCTGTTGTATTGAAAAGAAACATAACCTCTTCGATTATGTGGTACAATTTAACTACTTAGAATTAGAATTTTTCGAAATATTTGAAAACCTATTTTGATAGATTTCTAAACCACATTATGGGGTTATAGAGATTATTGAGTTACTATATGAAATCGCGGATCAATCAGTTTTAGACTACCACTATAAACCTGAAAGTTCTGGACGTTCGTCTTTTCCTGATATGGGACTCATCAGCAGTACTCATCCACGACTCCTTCAAACTAGGACCTTTGGTCTTGCGCGCGATCGCCTAACCCCTGGACTCCTGAGTCGGTATCTAACGGTGTTATAATGTCTAACTTCGGCCAACTCATGGTTTTGTACAACCTCAACTACTGTTTTGGGTGAGCACCACTTCACACCCACACAGGGTTGAACTCCAGTAGTCACAACTTCTCACTGAAACTAGAAGAAACTTCCGCACAGTGGTAGTCACTAGTGAGCACAAGTAAGTTGAATCATGAGGTTGTGAAAAATTATTCAGTTACTTTTTAAAATCATGAATCAATCATGATTAGACCACCAATAGAAATCTGGAAGCAATGGACGGCCGTTTCGTATCAGTATGGGACTCTTCAGCACCTTTTACGTGCTAGCTAATAGGTAGTAACGTTGTTTTTATTAAATATCATATTATAAATGTATGATATCGATTTGCAACGTTTGAAAGCACAAAGAACCCAACTCACTATATTAAAAAAAACTACTGTGAAATGTACCCAACTACGTCACAAGACAAGCCCTCACATGGAACCCTCAAGGTAAAAGGAAAAGAGGAAGGCTAAGGAACACATGACGCCTGGAAATAGTGAAAGATATGAGGAGAATGAACGAAAATTGGACAGAACTGGAATGGGAATCCCCGGACAGAGTAAGTTGGAGATCACTGATGGGCGGTCTATGCTCCATTCGGATAACAGGCGTATGTAAAGTAAGTATGTAACTACGACTCTCTGAAGGTAGCCAAATGCCTCGTCATCTAATTGAATGGGTATATTAGGTAACGCGCATAAATGGAGCCTTCTTGGGGTTGTGGTGGCAGCTATCGCATCGTGGTCCTTTATCATACCGTAGTAGCAAATACCAAGAAAAGGGATGTAGCTTTCCAGGATGATTGAAGGCGGCTCTAGACGTTCTGTTTGGGAAAGCAGCCGTAGAGATCCTGTACTATTGACGCCGACCCTATGTGCTTGCACTTGGTTGAATCCATGATATCTTCCTCATGGGAGGGTGTACGTTCCAGCTGACCTTGTGGGACAAACTCAATCTTTAGCTTCATGTGGTGTCAGAGGGCGCCGGTCGATTGTAACAGCGCCAGGCAGTTGGAGGCCAGATGGTTGGAACGGCTGCTGGTAAGTGCACTGCTGGGTGGCTCGGTAATCCGTTCAGAGTGCCAGGTTCGGCTGGATAAGCCCACCTTGCCGCTCATGCCGACTGGGGATTGTGGGTAGTTTATTGGTTGGAGGGATCGAGTTGATTCATAAGTGCCTGAACGGGGGCTACTGCTCGTGTTCGTGCTTTTTGGACGTCCGACCTGCTTGCAGACCAAACTGGACAACATGTATGTTCCCAATTGGGGCAGGAGTGATCACTAAACGGCTAAAGTGAAAGTCCTTGTGTTGCCTAAAAACGCGGCGATGTGCATGTACAGCGGACTTGTCGGCTAACCAAGATATAGTATTAAATTTAAGTCGAGAGAAAAAAATAATAAGAAACCAACATCTCTTTCTGAAATGTTTATTTTGCAATTTAATTTTTTGTATTTGTCATCATAATACAATTTTGTTCTTTGTTACATGTTTCCTTTTTTTGCAAGTATTAGAAATGGATTAGTTTTTAACGAATAAAATGATTACAGTGACATAATTATGCGTTCTTTGTTTTTGTGGTTAGAATGTATATTAGTAGTAGTAGTTGTAGTCATATGGTTGATGACAAACTTTAACTTTAACCAAGTCTTTGTGATATGTAATATTTTCTTTTCATCAAACGTCGAACTAATGAATCACGTGGACTTGGAAGATAATATCGATATGCGTCATCGTATGGTTCAACTAGTTCTGGTGACATCATTGGATATCGATCCATTTCATATTCCGGTGACGGTACTGCACATTTGATTTTGACCAATGAAAATACAATGCATAATGCTGACACAATAATCATTGATCGAAACATGGTTTGATAATCTAAAACAGACGAAAGAAAAGAAGAACAAGGGAATTTTCATTCTAGTGAAATTTAAACCACTTGGTTCTAATGAACATCAAATTGATGGAAGCATAAAACTGACAATTTTTGAGATATCAACGAAAATGAACTCTTGACTATTGAAAATCAATGCAAAACTAACTTGAAAATTAATCGAAAAATGTTTTAAAACAGTTTATTGAACTGATTAGTAGCATGCAATCAGGCAAGTAGTTAGAAACTCAACCATACATAAGCTGGAGTCGATAATTTTCATGTCTGAGTGTTGTAGGTTTGTGAATGTCATTCTAAACTTTTGTTTCCCCGTTCATCTGGACAAAAGATCTTTTTTTAAATAGGAGTTTTAAAAAGACCACAGAAAAACTAGACAAGTAGATGACAGTAATTTAGTCTGAAAATTAAATTAAAAAAAGCTGTCATCTTGTTTGTTGATTAGAACAGAATCATACAGTATGTTACTTGAAATTTCGTGAGCAAATCATCCATTGAAGAAATATTTGTTAGTCAGTGGTTATCATTCGTGATATGATAGTGTTTCTGTCATCTTACTTCTCAAACGTTTTTCATATGGCGTACAGGATCCACTTTAACCTGGCTAGAATGCTTTAATATGATAAACGTTTCCTGTTTACTGATGATTCACAGAAAAATGGTTGATTCTTGTTTTGTCCTCTATCCGAAGAAAATTACATTTCAGTGACAATTAGGGTATTTGCTTGTGTATTTTTAAACCATTTGGATATGTGATGGTTATTCTTAGATAATAACGTTTGGTTTATCAAAAAAACGCTGTGAATTTTCAAGTGATTTATACACGTAAATAAGTTGTAATATATTTTGCGAGATGAAGTAAATAGTTTTTAAGGAATTTTCTTTAGAATATTATTCAGTGTGATGATGAACTCATAATAAAACCAGTTTATTTTTGTAGCAACAATAGAGATACTTGAAATGCCACCTTAATTATGTGTGAGCATTAAAAAACAATCGTAAGACAGTCAGAAAGGTGACATCAATTCGTTTTCATTTTCATTAACATATATAACATCTCATATACATGATGTTCAATGATGAGTCGTTTCAGTAATTCGATGAGAGCATCGACTAAGTTATATTTGAGTGTGTGTGTGTGTGTGTGGGCATGCTTACTCACTTGTTGCAACATATCTAGCCTCTTATTTATTACTTAACTTTGTCGTACTTCAGCTCATGGAGAGTTGACTCACTCGCCTTCTTCAATTCGCTTCGCTTTGCCTCTACGCTTTCCTTCTCATGTTTGTCTGCATAAATGAATGCATGAAGGAAATTTATCTGCAACACCACAGTTGGCTTCTTATTAGCTCCGTCGCACAAATGGGGTAAGCCTAAGTATAATATACGGAAATAAAAAGGAAGATTTATTTGATCGCATACTCGGTCATTCATCCGAATCGGAGTCAAATCGTGGACCACTAAACATTTGATGTACCTTATTAGGTTTAGAGCGTGGATCAGGAAAACAAGGACTGCATTTGTACAATTGAACAACAACTGCAACTCCAAACAAATATCAATCAACACCAAAATCAGCATTCTCATTACAAATGTCAGGACAGTTCTACTTCATAGGGGCGAAAACTGGGAGAACTACCAAACCCATCATTAAGACGATACAAGTTCTCATTAACAGTTGTCTATGCTAGCTACTTCGGATCCGATAACCAGACACTTTGAGTAATAACCTACTGTGGGAGAAAGCAGATCAGATTCCAATGGAGGAGGAAATCAAGGAAATGCGCTGGAAGTGAATAGGACGCACATTCAGGAAAGCAGCCCACTGCATCGCAAGACAAGCCCTCACTTGGAACCCTGAAGATCAGAGGAAAAGAGGAAGACCAAACGAAACATTACACCGAGGAATGGGGACAGACATGAGAAGAATGAACAACAGTTGGACGGAATTAGAAAAGAAGTCTGAGGACAGAATAGGTAGGAGGATTCTGGTCAACGGCATATATTCTATTTGGTGATAACAGGCGTAAGTAAGCAAGTAAGTAAGTAAGTAAGTAAGTAAGTAAGTAAGTAAGTAAGTAAGTAAGTAAGTAAGTAACTAAGTAAGTAAGTAAGTAAATACGTAAGTAATGTTTAAGTATAAATAAAGACTGTTAGAGTTTGCCAAAAATTCTACTCTGTTATGACACTCAAATGAAGAGAATATGTATCTGTCTAAAAGCAAATTCAAACCCAGACAAATTATTTTACAGAATTTCTATTTATTAATTCTTTACTGAATATATCAATTATTATTATGAATAATTAATCTTTCAAATAATTAGAAGTGATTATCTCAAAAAAATGGAAAAAGATTTTAAAATTTATCATCTCTACCGATCAACAATTAACTGAGTGGAATTAATTTTAATTCTCACAGTGTTATTGTAATATGTGATCAGTCTTGATGTGTTCACATGTGTGTCTGGACAGTCTTTTGTAGAAGATATGCTACTCTTTCGAAATTAGTAATATAAGTAAATCACTACAAAAAAAACACTGTCAGTTGCGGCATCGTACTAATACTTATGCTGTGCATACTGTAATGAGTGTCTGTGTTCAATACAAATGACCCGTATGTAAAAAATTAGTCATTTTTTATATAAGATAAGATTTTCTTGACCGGAATTCATATTAAAACTAAACTAACAATTCACTCTCCTTTAAAAATACACTGTAAAAGGTATGAATAGTTTATTTAATGTATCTGTAATTTAATGTATCTATATGTTCATTCATGAGTTGGTCATCGGTAGTTGATCACTAGATAACCATAAGAAATCGACAAATTTAGGTAGGTGAGTCTGAAAGATGGTTTTTATTAGTCAGGAAGAAGGTTGGGCATGGAGTTAGCGACCCATTTCCGTAGAAAACTAACTCTCTCTCTCTCTCTCTCTCTCTCAAAAATGCGCTAACCAGAAAAAGTAATTCTAACCATTTAAACTCTGACCTAGTAGTTAGACGGTCTTTGTTTAAATGAGTCATGACGCATCATGATAAAAGCCGAGTTTCTGCGGGAGTCACGAGGTCGACGCCCCTCTTTCTGACAACCAGAGCAAACAATAGAATGTTCGTACACTGTAGGAAACCGGGAGGGTCATTCAAGTTGCTGCAGAAAATGACAGGCTAATTGTAATGTAAACGATAGTAACTAGTGTTATCAGATAAAATTTAGTTAGAGCATGTTTTAAAGTCAGTTGTTTAACGGATAAATTTTCAAATGGCGAAACGATTATTTCAAATCATCTGTAGAGGTTCCATCGTGTTAACACTTTGTTAATCCCAATATCTAATATTTATATTTATAAGTCGTTTAAGTACTACTGATGAATTTATATACCTACTAAAGAAAAACAGAGAAGTATTCCTGTAGCTAGATTAATGAAATGTAATTCGTAGAGTTTAACAATGTCAGGTGTAAGATACATTCATACCAACTCAACAGACAACGTCTAGTCAGTATTGTGACTTTAGGCTTTTCCGCTTGACGAACATAACTCATCAAAAAAGTGAAGATTATGCTAAATGTTTCAATCAGTCCCCCCTGGAGCACCTCCGGGGGTTACTGCCAGTCCCAAGCCCGGTTAATCGAGGAGGAGGGTTCGGTATAGGGTTGGCGACCACATCCTGTAGAAATCCAAATCTCTAAAAAATACACTAGCTAGGAAAAAAATTGTTCTCCGGTTGGCGGCCTATGCTCCATTGGGGGCAACAGGCGTAAATAAGTAGGTAAGTAAGTAAGTAAGTGCGTAAGTAAGTAAGTAAGTAAGTAAGTAAGTAAGTAAGTAAGTAAGTAAGTAAGTAAGTAAGTAAGTAAGTAAGTAAGTAAGTAAGTAAGTAAGTAAATAAGTAAGTAAGTGCATAAGTAAGTGCATAAGTAAGTAAGTAGGTAAGTAAGTAATTAAGTAAGTAAGTAAGTAAGTAAGTAAGTAAGTAAGTAAGTAAGTAAGTAAGTAAGTAGGTAAGTAAGTAATTAAGTAAGTAAGTAAGTGCATAAGTAAGTAAGTAAGTAAGTAAGTAAGTAAGTAAGTAAGTAAGTAAGTAAGTAAGTAAGTAAGTAAGTAAGTAAGTAAGTAAGTGCGTAAGTAAGTAAGTAAGTAAGTAAGTGCATAAGTAAGTAAGTAAGTAAGTAAGTAATTAAGTAAGTAAGTAAGTGCATAAGTAAGTAAGTAAGTAAGTAAGTAAGTAAGTAAGTAAGTAAGTAAGTAAGTAAGTAAGTAAGTAAGTAAGTAAGTAAGTAAGCAAGTAAGTAAGTAAGTAAGTAAGTAAGTAAGTAAGTAAGTAAGTGCATAAGTAAGTAAGTAAGTAAGTAAGTAAGTAAGTAAGTAAGTAAGTGCATAAGTAAGTAAGCAAGCTGCGTAGGTAAGTAAGTAAGTAAGTAACCATTTAAATCACGATATATTATGTCTACGTTAAAAGGACAGTTAATCGTCAAGCAACATTTCGATCTGTTCCATACTCTGTGAAAAGAAAAACCAATCTTTTGAACAACTTTTAAGTAAATAATATACTTAGTAAATATTTATTTAGGCCTAATTTCTACTTTCTGATAAATTAATAATGCCATCACTCTAAAATTAAGTTGAATCAAATATTACCAACTAACCATCTGGTTAGCCGCAAAATTTTTGATCAAACAAAAAACAGTTATTTGGCTACGTTCTCAATACAACACACGATAGTAATAATAATAATGATAATAATAATAATAATAATAATAATAATAATAAATATATATCGATATAGATTACCAGAACAAAATGAAAGCAGTTGATTAGCAGGAAATTCAACCTTTATATCTTTGATTTTTACAAGAATTTTTTTATATTTGGGCAGAATATATCCGTCACTGATCAATCTGTGAAATACAATTATCATAATGTGGAAGGTATAGTGAGATTGAGATAATGAATGTTTGCTATGAGTAGTATTCCATAGGGCTAGAACAAAGAACATTGGTGAGAATGCTTGTGCTTGCAATCACGAGTCGTCCGATGTCAGATCACTATTAGAAACCTGGAATCCCTGGACACTCGTCCCGTCCTAGTAAGTAACTGATCGCCAGTGCGTGTCCACCACTCCTGCTACTCGCAGGATCCGAACCCTGGACCTCCGGTCTTGCTCACGAAGGCCCAACATCCAACGGTGTTAATGTTTAACACTGATTAATATAGAGGTTTTGCTCAACCTCACTCATTTGTCTTTGATAGTTACTGTCTACACCCGAACAGAGTTGAACTCCACTCGTCATGGCTTCTCACTAGAACTCCGAGAATTTCCTCACAAAGCTAGTCACTAGTGAGCAAAGTGTAATGAAAAATGCTTGTAAACAATAAAAGTATCCTATTTTGAAGGTTAAAATAGTTGAGTAGTAATAAAAAAATGACACTTTTCAATTCTATTACTGTATAATACAGATGTGATACACTGGACAAGTGTAAATTAAACAGATACTTTTTTTGGCAGTAATCGTCTGTATCTGATTATCAAGATATTACTATTGTTAGCCTAAGTAGTATGTGTTTACGAAACACAGACTATCTAGCACAGATTCTACCTTTGAGAAAAAATACTATCGCTACATAAATTCATGATGCGAAGGACAGAAGAATTAAACTTATCTCACTGAATTAAACTTCTTGAATAATATCTTCAAATCCTAATCTTCTCCATCAGCAATCTCTACAATCTCTACCACTATGAGATTTGTACTACAATCGCATCTCTGTGTGCTAATGTGGTATGGCAACCTGAAATGATGTACTTACGTACGACGTTCTACGCTGCAGCTGACTGACTGACTGACTCAACTTGATTGGCGTGGTCCATTGTGTGGACCCAGTACTTACATACGGACTAAAGTAGTTTCATAAAAGATCATTTGTTCTTTCTTACAAATATCATTATTTTGAAAAATACTCCGTGTTTATTTTTAAAAAAATGCTTGAATTTAATACTTTAAAACAAAAAAACGACTTTATTGACTGTCATATCGCTCACTAAAACAATTACAAATAAATAATTCCAGTTATCATATGACTGAATTATTTCCGTGATAATATAATCACTGAATCATGTTTGATGAATTTCACAATTCACACTAAAAAATACACAGAGTCATGTGAATCTTGTCATCGTTTCACTGATTTTGTTCACCTCAAAACTTTAGCTCATACATACGATTGTCAGACAAACTTGACTTTTATTCTAATCAAAAATATACTTATACGTTGGGTTTTTCTTTTTGGTCTCGAACAAAATTAAATATTTTACGAAGAGCAAACGATTCTTTCTTGTATTTGTTTCAGTGATAAAAGTACTGATTTTAAAGTTTCAGTCAATTCAATGTGAGACAAGTAAATTTCTTACTGAAAATGATATTTTTCACGAAAGTAATATTATTTCATTCATTGGTGCTTCATATTTAACCGATTAAAACTACTACTGTGATGCATGCTACTTATAAGTAGTATATGACGCGAGTGAAAACGTGATGTCTGGCAGCAGAAGATGGGGGAAGATCAAGAAAGGAAGTGTGGGAACACAATGGAATTTGTATGAAACGGATGAACAGTGAAATGTCAGACAGTGAATTGATGATGGATTGAATATTTGCAAATTAACCGTTTACGATATGGTTTTCCTACTTTACCAATTAACCCTGTTATTTGCGATAAATACAATTCGGTTGCCCTCACCTGTGTCCTCCTTCACTGCACTACAATTTTCACAAATCCTCTGTACAACCAAAAGTGATATGCTCACCAGTGATTTAACTATTCGAATTCCAGTGAAAAGCCTTTGATCGATAGAGTTCAGTCAGTTTCAACTTCGGGACAGTAAACAGTTGAAGGGTTGCACAAAATCATGAATTGATTCGAGAAATATATATTAACACCGTTGGATGTCAACTCAGTGCTCTATGGATAAACGTACGCTCACGAGATCTAAGGCGTTTGGTTCAACTACCGCCTATAGGTGTCGTAAATACGCACTACCTAGAAATCCAAAATTGTAACGAAGTGGCTATCCAGAGCTTTCTGTGAAACTCAGCATTTTATGGACATATGTAAGCTCGTGAAATCAAAGGTTCTTGGTTCGACTCCTGCTTCTGGGTGTTGTAAATGCGCACTACTAAGGAATCCGAAATTACAACAAAGTGGCTATCCAGTGCTTTCCGGTTTTTAATGGTGATTTATCTAAAATCAAGTCGTAATTTCAGCTTTGAAAAATTTACAATTACCATACAAGATATCCAATTATTATAGTATTTTAATGATTTAAGTAGTATTTAGCCAATGTTCACTTCATTACACGGTATTCATTTGATTCTTTGTTAGAGTTTGTTACATTTGAAATGATTTTATTAGTTCACTATAACGTAACAGGTTAAAAGCAAAGCCTAAAATAAATTTTGATGACTACAAAACCAATTTATATTCCTAACTTATGACAAACTTTCACTCTGGTCATTTCGTATCAATTTGTAGTTGAGTAATTTCAATCGAGTTTGAATGACACAGAAAAAAGCTCCGATTTGGTCATAATTTTCCAGTGAGGAGGTGTTTTTATTTATGATAGAACATATCATGAAGTTATCTCGACAGTATAATTAACAGTTTTCATATAGGACTTATTAGTCACGGATTAATGTATTTTAATGTCATTTAGAAATCATTACCTACACTGAAAACTGCAAATCATGTCACGAATCATAATCAGAAGAGAATAATATTCTAAAAACATCTTGCTTGCCTTTTCATTAGTCAGAGAAGTTCAACAAGCAACTGGATATATTCTCTACGATTTGTTTTAAAAACAGAAATCGGTTGTTCACTGATAAATACTACTGAAATACCTTATTATTAAGCGTGGACAAAACAAGGAGGGTTGTTGGGCATAAGGTTAGCCAGCTCATCTCGTCGTAATCCAACTCGCTTAAAAAAGACACGATAGCCAGGAACATAAATCGCCGCTTGGCTTCATATGATCCATTAGGGATGACAGGCATAAGTAGTTAAGTAAGTGAGTAGGTAAGCAGGTAAGTAAATAAGTTAGTAGGAACGTAGGTAAGTAAGTAAGTAAATAATACGCCAAGAAAAGGAATATACTAACTCAAACTAATTATACCTAAGAATGTTTTTAAAACAAACATATACAACTTTTACACACAACATGTAATAACTTGTAATAACTTACAAATACTGTTTATTGGATTTCTTTCAGCACACTGAAAATTAACAATGAATAATTGTTAGTTCTATTTTTCAATATGTAATGTAAGGTATTGCTTCGTTTGTTCGTAAAAATGAATTGTGTTTTGTAAGCAATGAGTTGTTAACTATCAATTTATTTTTTAAATGAGAAATGTAATTTACCTTAGGAGAACACTTGTTTTTCCTAAACGCCTATTTATATAGAGGTTTTCCCCCCGCCCGCCCGGAAAAGTTGATTGGTCATTTTCATTTTCCTCTAAATAATGCCGTGCATAGATGAGTGAATGAAGGAATATGAAGCAATGATACAAGAAAGCAATGAGACATGTATATATGTATGACTGATTAGGATAGGCTTGAATTAGGAATCTTTTTTATAAAAACACATTTTTGACAAATAATATTACACGTTCACACTGACAGGATAAATAATACTTATAAGCAAATTTGAAATTAAGTAATATATATCATTTGTTCCTCATTTTCGTGTACTGATTTATCAGTGTACAGTCAAGATTGTCACGTTTATTTAGTTATTGTAGAATAGATAATTCAAGTGTGTTGTGTTGTGGTCAGTAGTCTACGTCATTTAACATTTCGTGCAGCATTCATTTTGATGTAAGTGTAGTTGGAGTTAGTTGACAGGAAATTGTGAGCCTAGATTTTCTTATAGTTAAAACTTATCACAAGTAGGATTCCAATCTAATTCACCCTGCTTTATAGAATATACAACATACAATTGAACATTATTCAATGATCAATTTTTGTAAACATCTCCAAAATGGTGACCTCGCAGACTGTGAGTCAGCGTAATAAATGTGCGATGATCATAGGATACATGTTGAGGATGTTAGATCCTCAGAACTCACTTGATAAAGATCCTAATTTCGCATTTTATTCATGGGCTGATCACTTGACCTTTAGATCACATTTCCCATTCGGAAAATCCTTGACTGTCATAAGTTGGTGGATTATTTTAGTACACTATTTTTGTGGCTCTCCCAAGGACGTTTCTATCATGTGCTTGTCGACCTAGTATTTTCTAGGTGCTTGTAGAATACATTCTCTCCGCCATATCAAGACTTTTTGATATCGTTAGCCGGGCCGGGGACAACGGATTATTGTAACTTATAGTGTCACTGCATCATTGATCTGCGCTCCGTTTACCGACTTCAGGTGAGCTCATAATAGTTTCAAGCATATCAACTGACGAGGATATCAATACATCAATTCCATCAAGATTACCAATAGACATCGCCAACAAGTTTCAACCAGCGCAAAACCTCCATCTAGAGTATCTTGTTGACTAATTCTAACAATCTTAAATTGTAATTATTTCATTATTGATTATTTACTCTAAGCAAACCACTCATATGATGACGATGAGGATCAAAAAGAAAGCACATCCACACACACAAACACACACTCACAAACACAGAAGAAAGAAGGTCAAAGGTAATTAACTTTATACGTAAATTATATTCTTTACGTGACTAAATATTATTTGATTTCATTTGGAAAAACACAGTTGCAAACATTTTCGTAAAGTTTAAAAGAAAAAACGTTGAAATTCAATTCCTGTTTGATAATTTATTTGTCTTGTTTGTTTGTTTGTTTTTAAAAGTAGTTTTTTTCTCTAGATAAAAACCCGTTTAATACTTTAAACAAACGTGACTAGTGGAGTTCAACCCTTTCGGGTGTTGGGTGGTCATATACCGAAGACAATGGGTGAGCTAGCGCAAGATCCTTCGAGTGATATCAGAGTTAGACATGGTTTCGACTGCACGTAAGCGCGTCAACTTGATATACTTGAACTATTATGAGTTTACCTAGTCGGAAACACGAGAGCGAGGATCGAGGATCCGGCGACACGATAGGCTACTCTAATCCGATTATCCCAACCACCATATTGAGTATAAATAAGAAGACTTGATATGAAGTAGAACTTGTATTCTACAAGCATCCAGAGGTAAGAGGTCTGAATCCAGAAGAGTAACAGGATCCCGGACTAGGGACCGGGTCCTGATCCTGGTCATAAAACGTTACACATAATGCGTATTTATACATTTTGGTCGAATAGGAAACACTTTGGAAGTCTGTGGCATTGACAGTTAAGACGACCAATAGGAAGCAACATTGGAGTATGTGACATTGATATCTAGGACGACCATACAATTGACCAGTAGGAATTAACCAATAGGAATTAACCAGTAATTCTCTTAGGATATTGGATGAATATCCTAACAGACATGGACACCCTTGGATGCCGGTCCAGTGGTAGGTCCAGATGCTAGGCGTTCGAGAACAGCATCGAAGGTCTTGAGTTCGAGTCATGCAAGTAGTAGGACTTGTGGATGCGTACTGCTGATGAGTATCACTCCAGGATTTGATGGCCGTCTATTGTTAACAGGTTTCCAATGGTGCGCCAACAATGGTTGATTCATAATTTCAATAATCAGCAACAATCTTCATAACTCTGTTAATGAAAAATTATTATTTATTAAAAGCTTTATGTTACAGATTGTCTAACTCAAGAGATTTCTAAAAGCAGTTGAATTGAGTCTATGTGAATTTAACAGCAAGATATTAACATGAACCGAATGAAATCTATTCATTATAATGTGTTACTGTTCCTACACAAAAACTGAATGTCAACTAAGTGTTTATTGAACTGTTGACAATTTTTGTTGTGATTTAACAAAACCATCGACAGAAAGTCAGTACTTACTTACTTACTTGCTTACTTACTTATTTACGCCTGTTACCTCCAATGGAGCATAGGCCGCCAACCAGTATTCTCTCCAATCATCCCTGTCATGATCCTTTCTTACCATTTCTACCCAATTGCTTCTCATTCTTTTCATGTCAGTTTCCAGATCTCTGTCCAGTAGGTTCCTTGGTTTACCTCTTTTCATTTCTCCTTCAGAGTTGTAGGTTGAGGCTTTCCTTACGATGCGATGTATGTGAGTCTTCCATGAATGTTCGATCCATCTTCAGCGATTTTTCTCAGATTCTTTCGCAGCTAGTGAAAATTCAGTCCTACTATATAATAATTACTTTAGTCTATGAGCATTTTTTTCACAGTTTGTTATTGTTTTTAACTGTCTAACGCGAAACATGAAGTTTAGTTTAGTTATTATTATTAATATCAAGACAATGTGTACACTGGTCTACACGCAACACACTTTTCTCAACGGACTTCAAATTGAACATTGAAGCTTATTGAACATGTAACCGAAGTGAAAAAAACACACGAATGAGGCAATTCATGTTTGTACACACACACACACACATGAGTAAACTTGTTTTGCTCGACAAAAACGGCTTTGAAAGTTTGTATGACTAGACTTATTTTTGCGATCAAAATATAATTTTTTATGCATGATTCAATGTTCAATGGTTATGTCATTTGGTTTGTTGTTTTTGTTGTTGTTATTGTTGTTACTGTTTTTATACTTGAAATAATCACGAGAAATAAATGTGAAATGTTATGAAATTGAGAAGCATTTCAAACTTTGATGTGAAAAATGAAATCATATTTGATCAAAATGATACACAATGTCCCATTACCTAGATTAAATAAACCGGTGACTATTATGGTAGGTTAAATTTTCAAGTGAATTTATTCGATATCTTATGTACTGAGGAAATTTTTAAGCACAGTGTATCATATTTTTAACTGTTTCGAGACTGAATCGACAAATAGAGCGCTACATTTTTATGTAGACATAAATTTGTAAACCTTTAGTTCGTGTTTGTTTTTAATTTCGAAACATGTCTTCTCTGATGTGTTCATAATCGCTTAGTTCTAAATTTTGAACAGCTTTAGTTAAGCGTTTTAATGACCAGCATTCTCCAACCTAATCTGTCCTCAAACTACTTATCCACTTCTATCCAATTACTATTCATTCTTTTCATGTTTGTCTCCGTTTCTTGGCGTAATGTGTTCCTTGATCTTCCTCTTTTCCTTTGGCCTTGAGGATTTGAAGTGAGGGCTTGGCTTATAACGCATTTGGGTGATTTCCTCAATGTGTGCCTTATTCACCTCCAGCGCCCCGTCCTGATTTGTTCCCCAGCTGGAGGAATCTGGTTTGTTCTCTTCCACAGTAGGTTGCTGCTGATAGTGTTTGGCCGGCAGATCCGTAGTATTTTGCATAGACAACTGTTAATATATAATAATTGTATCTTCCGAATGATTGCTTTTGCAGTTCTCCTCGTCATACGCTAGAACTGTCTTGACATTTGTATAGAAAATTGTGGCTTTGGTGTTGGTTGACAGTTGTTTTGAGTTCCAGATGTTGTTCAGTTGTAGAAATGCTCCTCTTGCTTTGTCGATCCGCGCCTTTACATCTGCATCAGATCCACCTTGCTCGTCAATGATGCTGGCCAGGTATGTAAAGGTTCTTAAATCTTTCGATGTTCTTCCTTTAAGTGTGATTTGGTCGGTGCATATTGTGTTGTATAGGCAGATCTTGTTTATTCCTTTGTGTATGTTAAGATTAACTGCTGCTGAGGCTGCTTCTACCCTAGACGTCTTCCCCTTCATTTTCCGTTATGTGAAGTATACAAGAGCCAGATCATCTATGAAGTCAAGATCATCCAGCTGTATTCGAGCTCATAGTACGCAGCTCTTTTATATAAAGAAAGGAACCAAATTATGATTCGTAAATCGATTTATATTTCTAATAAGCGAATAACTATTTATTTCTGCATATATTTGCTGTTTTTGTGAAGCTCAGTTATCAGTGAACTTTAAATTATCATTGTTACTTGCGATATGTGAATAATTACGAGAAGTTTTTAAAGCGTTAGCTCCGCACTTCAAGTGACCTCATCGCCTGAGAAGGAAAACCGTGAGGTGCGGTGAGGTGAGGTGTCAGATTTGTAGGGTCGAACTTTTCTAACACCTTCCTTCCTTGTGAGGAGGCAGCATCGCTGCAGATGCTGGTTGTCCGAGGGAAAACCCTTTGTGCTGTCATAACCTTCCACACTGAGGAGTACGACTTCACCTTCAGACCTTGAGTTTCTGCTTTCTTGCCCAATTGACCTGTCTGGTCTGGTGAAACCTTCAGGAACATATGTTCCAGCCAATATAGCTCGGTTGGGTCATCACGATAGGAAAGCCCGACTATCACGTCAAGTTAGTAGCTACGGTTCAACCCTAATCTTTCCACTTACCTCTCATACTTCTACTATCTCTACCACTATGTAATTTGAATTCACAGTTACATCTCAATGTGCTAATGTCGTATAGAAAATTGAACACTGATGTACGAGCTTACTTACAAAGTTCTACATCGCAGCTGACTGACTGACTGACTCCGGATTCACTGTGTCAATGTGTGACTGCTTGTTATCGTGTGCAGTAAGTGAAATATTCTGTGTTTAGTAGAAATATTCCCGTCACCGTTGGATTGTAAACATTGACTCACAAATTGCCTTAATTGGTTTATGCTTCAATATTCATTTACTCAGGTAAATATTCCTTAGCTTAAATGGTCTGACTCAAAAAACAATCTTATTCATTTATACAATGATTTAAAGAATGATTTAACAATTCAGAGAGACAACAGACAAATACAAATTAGAACTTCGTACATAAGTACATCAGTTCAGGTTGCCATGCCCCATCATCACAAAGACGCAACTGTCAGTTCAAAACCAAGAGTGATAGCAATAATAGAAGTATTAACAGTAATGGAGAAGATTAGGGAGCAAAGAAATCATTCAAAAAGTATAATTCAGTAAGATAAATTTAGAAGGAGAAAGGTAAAGATTATGAGGAATTCAGAAGGTTAGAATTTCATAAAACACAAAGAGTGGATGCACCTGCGCCATTGCAAACGATTTTGAGCGATTTCATTCAAGGTCTCTAACCATTGATGACTGTCGTCTCGCGGACCTCTACATCTACCAACATGACTACTCAGTCCACTTGTCAGTGACTTCATGGATTTCTCCCATGTTTTAGTCTGGCCGCCCCTAGATTTCTTCCAATCTACTCCTACACTGCAAAACATAGCTCATCGCGACAGTCAGTGGTTAGGCATACGTAACACATGACCCAACCACCTCAACTGATGAAGTTTCATTACTTCATCTATTGATTGAACAATTCATCACCTAATATACATTTTCCTTTAGCAGTTATTATCAGATTAACCTAATTACTACATAACATCAAAATTATCAAGTACATTTTTCATTTAGGGCGTGGTTTTTATTCATATTTCCAGACAAAAAGCCTAATAAATCTATTATTATATTACATAAAAATTAGTTATGATACAATAGAAAACTTGTGATAAAATCAATCTTTTTTTCATCATTAAATAAATACATAAATAGATTTGTAATTTTGATAAATATATATGTAAATCATATGCGTACATGGTTGTTATTAGCTATCTTAAAACATTGTTATCAGTGAGCGAGGGGGAGAATATTGACTAGTAGTGAAAGCCAGGCTGAATGTTTCGTTCTACTGAAGACTTATCAGCTAGACGATATACATGTATATTTTAGAGTTGATATTCATTATGGGAGTCAAAGGATATTACTTACTTACTTACTTACTACTGTTACCCACATTGGAGCATAGAGAGGCCACCAGTTTTCTCCAACCAACTCTGTCCTGGGCTTCACTTTCCAGTTCTGTCCAATGTTTGTTCATTCCTCTCATATCTTTCTCTATTTCTCGACGTAATGTGTTCCTTGGTCTTCCTCTTTTCCTTTTGCCTTGAGGGTTCTATTTGACGGCTTGTCTTGTGACGCAGTTAGGTGCTTTTTGTAGTGTGTGTCCTATCCACTTCCACCGCTTCTTCTTGATTTCCTTCTCCACTGGTATCTGGTTTGTTATCTCCAAAAGTAGGTTGTTGCTGATTGTGTCTGGCCGACGAATCCGAAGTATTTTGCGTAGACAGCTGTTAATAAACACTTGTATCTTCTGGACGATGGCTTTGGTAGTTCTTCAAGTTTTCGCTCCATACAGTAGAACTGTCCTTAAATTTGTATTGGAAATCCTGATTTTGGTTTTGGTTGAAAGTTGTTTGGAGTTCCAGATATTTTTCAATTGTAGAAATGCAGCCCTTGTTAACAGGATATATAAGCTTTAAA